ATTAGTCATTTAAACCAGTTTTACAACTGTTTAGATAAGACCTATTTAGATAAATGATGGATATCTAAACCAGTTATACAACCAGTTTAGAAAAGGAACATTCTAAACCGGTTATAAAACTAGTTTAGATAAAAGCTAAATAAAAAAATTTTAAATTTTTTCATATTTTAAAAATACACTTCTAAACTGGATGTGAGATTTCATCAATTTCTAAACCAATAATGACCACAATTAATTTAAAAACATTGTTTTATTAAAAAAAAGCATTCAATTTTTTCACTTAACCTAGCCATGATAGGATGCAAACTTGCAAATTAAAAGCAATATATACATCCAGCCAGCCAGAATACAATCCAATTCAATCAAATTAATTTAGAAATCTTTACAACTTCATTCAAATAAGTTCAATAATTTTTCCTAATTCAACTACACATATCCTAAACTCACTCATTTAGTGAATTATTGTTGTGAAACTCTAACATAAATACTCTCCAATGTCTTCTAATTTTTTGGATCTCTGATTATGGAAATGGAGATGAATCATTGAATATCTGAAAAAAATCAAGGACAAGGAATTTGACTTAGCAATTCCAAGTAAACAAAAGATATATTAGACCTCTAAAATAAGATTTATCTCTTCAGTAAACTTTGTCAAGTTGGCCATGATGATATTGTACACATGTTTTAATGCATAAAAGTCACACAAGTTAATAGGGGGTTAACGGCGGCTCTATAGAATAACACAACATTGTCAAAATTAAATTTAAAGAAAGCTTTACAAAAAAAATTATGATGATAGATATTAATTATCTTGGTGTTATCCATGTACGATCCTCGATATCACTCAAGGCCTTGCCTAGCTAGACTTGCTGACCAATCCTCATAGCCCTGTCATCAATATCATATAGTTAGTAAGGTAATTACATAGAATAATGTATTATGTAAACACATTCACTATTTACATCTTCATTCCCAAATTGAGTTTGCAATATAGAGAATATAAAAAAGGATAGAATTGCTCTTCATCGAAGCACTATCAATTGCCAAAGTGCATTGCATAAAAAAAAAGTGATTTACGCAAATATTCAATACTATTACAAACAAATTCAAAGATGTTTACTTACAGATGGAGAAATAAGGAAAAGTAACACTCTTTGCCACCTTCATTGAGCCTCTGATTCATGTATTACTACTTTGTCTCTTTGGTGGTCTCCTTATCATTAGTGTAACGTGGACAAAGAAATCTGTATTATTTGTCTTTGCTCGAGGAAGCCAACATTTAATGCAAATACCTATGATAATGCAAACAAGTTAGTTCCAAGAGCTCAATTGTTTAATTTCATTTAAATTTACACTTAGAATAAGATACTTACATCATTTCAATTTGAATGGTCATCGTAGTTTGGTCACTATCAATGAGAATCCAGCCTAGATCCTCATTCTCAACAATAACTTGGTGGTTGTTAGTGCCAACAAGATCAGGAAATGCTTTAAAAACTCTAGGAGGAAACAATCTACCATATGCCAATAGGACAATATAACAGATCCCAATAATTCAAAATCTCCCAACCATCGTTACTTTGTTCTTTATACTAAAAATCTCAACTTAAATAAATTTTCCTTTCATACTTGAATATTCATGGCAGCACAAATCAAGAAAATTCCACAGCCTCAACCATTACATCACATGTAGACACACCCACGGAATTAAAAAAAAAACATATTTAGAGTTCCTCACCTGGATCAGTAACGACATGAGCAAAGAAGAAGAAGAAAATAGATATGCGGTGCTGTACCAGGAGGAAAAAGAAGAAGATCTGATGCAGTCCTTCACTACAACAAGAACAGAGGAGGGAGAAGGCGACAATACAAGGAGGGATAAGAATCCCAGCACCTATGCTCAAAAATGGTGAGTTCTCAGCTGGCACAAGGACGAAGAATTTGGCAATGGAAAGAAAAGAAAAGAGGGACCTGAACAGAACATTCTAGGGGAAAATCCACGCCACACGAAGAATCAGGGAGAAGAAGTCGACGGCGTGAAGCCAGGGAACTGGAGGAAGAACTCGTGAACCTATCCTCTAGCAAAAGCAGACGAAGGTTTTTAAAATTTTATGCACATCTAAACCAGTTACTAAGCATAATTGGTTTAGTTATCTTTTAAAATTGTTTTTGAAAATTATAAATAATTATCTAAACTGGTTATTATTTATAACCAATTTAGATATCTCTTAGGAAAATAAAAATTTCAAAATATAAATATATATATATATATATATCTAAACCAGTTCTATGTTATAACTAGTTTAGATATCAATTTCTAAACCGGTTCCTTTCTTAACTAGTTTAGAAATCATCCTAACTGCTTTTTTATTTAAGAGAATGCCAACGCCCCTCATTTCTAAACTTTTGTGCATTAACCAGTTTAGATGTGTGGGTTTAAAAATCATATTTTGTTATAGTGTGTGGTCACTCATCAATGTGAGAGCAAAAAAAAAATTTATTTCTTGTTCTTCGTATCAACTTCTTTTAGGAGACAACATTCAATCTTTCACATTGATTTGTGTCTTTAATGTTTTTCTTATGAGTCAAGTCATGTTCACATCATGACTAATGTCAAACCACGTTCACATCATGTTCAATCTTTAACATTATGTACTCACTAACGTTCTTTTTAGGGATACTCTCTGCAGCCTATCAGACTTGACCACAAATGAAATAACACAGCAAAGTGATAATGAAACTTTGGTCTTCTCTTTTGCTTCACAATTTCATTTAATGAAAGTATATAAAATTTGTAAAAGAAAAATTAAAAGCCGCACTGTTTACATGTATTTTTGAAGTCATTGTGATTTTTTTGGGGTAAATTTAGATTATATTACCACATAAAACGTACTTAACAAAGGAGACATATAGAGGTTGTTTCATGTGAAACGGAGTGTGACTTTGAGGTCAACTTGTAAATCAAGCACTTCATCACAAATGGGTACATTTAATCAATCAATTAAATTGTGAAGACTGATATAATTAAGTTTGTAAAGGGACACGTATTCATTCGGTCTTCTTCTCACTGTTAACGTTCTTTTACCCACTTTCTATGGCCTACCAGACTGACAATAAATGAAACAATGCAATGGAAATGAAAAAAGTGAATTTCATAATTAAAATCAGTCATGTGGTCTTGTTATTCATTAAAAAAATATTACAAATGGATTTCATAATTAATCCTCATAATTACTAAATGATTTTTTAAGTTTTACTTTTCTCTTTTAAAATTGTTATTTTGTTTTGATAGCCATTAATTATAATTTCATATTGTTTTTTATTTTAGGTAAGTATAAATGAACTTGTTGATGAGTGAATGGTATCACTAATACTATATCTTAACAGTAAATATCGCATGCCAAATTGTAGGTAGCAGAAGTGATTAATTCATTGCTTGAAAAGGTTATTACACTTTACTCAAAAAAAAAAAAGGTTATTAATTCATTTAATACTCATTTATTAAAGAATATTAAGGAGAGAGAATATATGAAAAGGGTAATATTACAAAAGCATCATTAATAAAATCTTATTTTTATCAAAGTGTCATATTTGAGATGTCAAATATCCCCCAAATGTGTCATATAATTAGAAATAGAGGAAGTGTAAATTGAATTTTGAGAATGTCAAAAAAAATATGAGAAAAACACTTCTATTTTTTTTTTGTACATAGGTATCCTCTTATTGAAGATACTCATATTGCAGGCACTTCTTCAAATGGGAATTCAAATATTAGTTCACCGTGTTGGGAGGAACTAATCCCTTCGATTAGACCTGACTCCTATTGGTACACTTCTAAATTATTTTATAATTACTGACTATAGATATAATTTTTGGCATTTTTTATCTATAAAAAATGAAAAATATTTATAAATTATAATAAAATGTAGTTATCCACTTTGGGGAAACATGCATGATGTTCGCTGAAGTTTGTTCTAGAATACTAGGAGATCCTGTTGGATATAAGATAATTTTTTTTTTTTTTGGGATCGAGGATATAAGATAGATATCTGAAAAACAAAATTCATATGATAATTTCTAAGACATTAAAATTTAATAACTATCTTTTGTAAAACTTTTTTTTTTTAATCACAAGAACAGACACTAATGGTCTAAGGTTACAAGATTTGAAGTCATGAGCGAGATCAAGCTTGCAAATTCTCATTATAAGGGAGCTTTCATATAACTTTGTTTAGTTTTCAATGCACATGTCTCCATTTCTTTTATAATTTATTTATTTTTTGTTATCACCGTGAACTTCAATCATGCAATCTCTTTTACACTCTGAAATTAAAAAAAAAAATAATAACATCTCTGTAACTCATTTAATTAATTATGCTGTTTTATTGGGATAGAATACTTTTGATGGAAATAGAAATAAGAATAAAGGATACTCCTTTCATCACTTAACAAGAAATGTTAACAAAGTAAGCTCGGGCAATCAAATCTTTGTTTTGTTACCAACTTCGCATGTTATTGTGTATACTATTCGATAAATATTTAATTTAATTTGGTTTTGATCGGAAAGTTAATTGGGATAGTATGGTGTCCTAGTTTTTTCAATCGACTTTTTCTTATATCTTTTTATTTAGCTTACTTTTATTGATTGATGCGATCCGTTTTATCTCCTTTATAATTCGAAATTCTGTAATTAATACCAATCATGAAATATGTTTTATCTTTTTGTTTAAGTTCTTATAGAATAAACCTAATCAATTAGTCAAACTTAATCAATTAAACCTTCATTCAATTAAGTGCGCATATATAATTGGACATTGTTCCCACCATCTCCCCACCCCCCTCTCTATATATGTATATAATACGTTGTTTTATATGATTGACTTGATTTGGAATTGTAGGAGTATAAAATGGGTGCTAATTCGACTTGCAATTTTAATAAGTCTGATATGCTAAACATGGCAAAACCTTCCTTTGTTCTCCTCTTGTTACTTCACTAACTTATGGCCTCTTTAGCTTGGACTAATACAAACATCACCACCGACAAATATGCACTTCTTGCCTTTAAATCATCTAACACTTCAGATCCATACAATTTCTTAGCTAATTGGTTTGTCTCTTCTTCTCCATGCAACCAGGTTGGTGTTACCTACAATGCTCATCATGGAAGGGTCCGTTCCTTGAATCTTGCTAGCATGGATCTTAAAGGCACCATATCTCCACAACTAGGAAATTTTTCATTCCTTGTTGAACTTGATCTCAGTAACAACAACTTGAATGGTCAAACTCCAGCAGAGTTAGTTTGACTTTCATGGACAAGTTCCAGCATGGATAGGAGATTTATCCACATTAGAGCATTTAAACCTTCAAAATAACACTTTTGATGGATCTATTCCACCATCTCTATTCAATCTAACAAGGTTGAAGAGATTAGATTGGAATTCTAATTTAACTGAATGAACCATTCCTGTTCAAAAACTTAACCGTAATGATATAAATAAGCACCCTATTAAACATAACAGAAATTTTGTGACGGAATGAACTCTCACACTAGTTACATAATTTATTGACTCGCAATAAAGGATATTGTCACATTTTGATCAAATTGAATAAATAAAATGACCAATTTAAATCCATTATTGATTTCCATCACTAAATCTTTATATTAGTTGAAGATTAGTGATGAATATTTTCAATTAAAAAATTTATAAAATGTGCTTAAATATTTTAAAAAAATAAAAAATTTATAATATACAAAGAGAGATTCACATGAAAAATATTCAAAATTAAAAAAATAATTAAATAAATATTTTTTGCTATAAGTAAAATATATAATATAAAATGATCTAGAAAAACATAACAAATAAATTTTATTTTATTATGTAAATTTAAATGTAAAAATAAAATATTTAACATATGAAAATATTTTAATTATAACACATAATATAAAATTATATAAACAAATATTTATTTTCACAATATATATTAATTGATATTAAATAATACATTTATTAACTAATAATATATAATGACTCAAAAATTTAAGTTAAATTAAAATTTATAATAAGATAATTTAAGTATCTTTTTTATTAATTTTAGAGTAAACTTAACAAGAATAAATTAATGGGTCAGTGGATACTTCTATGAGTTTATTTATAGGTTCGAACCTTCCTACTGCATAAAGAGGGATTTTAATTTTTATACAGCTTCATGAAATTGCCAAATTACCCTCATTGGAGACATTAGATTGGAATTCTAAAGTTTAAATGTTTTGTAAAAATTTCAGCAGAGTCTTCCCTATTATTTGGACCTCTCAAAATTTCTATAACAACAAAACCTATTGGCCAACTAGCAAGGAGACTAACTCCATTCTAGCAAATTACACAATAACAAAATAAGACTAGGGCCTAACCATGATGTTCATGGAGCACTACCTTTTAATTTACAAAATACAGTATAAGGCTTCACCAAACAGAATAATCACCATGTGATTCAATTTTTCAAAAAGCAAGAAGGGCCCTCAATGGTCAACTGAAAGCGCAGGGTCTACTACAATATCTAAGACCAAAGAAATTACTAATGAGTAGCATTCCAATCAAAATTATAATAAAAAAATATAAATAAAATTCCTGTTCAACCATATCTTGGGCTCAAAAATTATGACCTTCCCCCCTAAAAAAAAAAAGTTAGACAGTAATCATTGACATTAAAATTAAAAAAATGGTACGTTGACCTGCCTATATCACAACCTATCCTATAATGGTAAAGAAAACAAACATAAAACTCTGAAATTAAATAACAGATTACATATTACTAACGAGACATTCTCAATAATCAGCAAATAAATAAAACGTATTATTTAATTCATTTGGGCTTAGAGTGGAACTGTGCTATATGTTTAATTTCAAAATTATGCTTTGTGAAATTAAATAGTACTTTTCAAGTTAAAATTTTAAATATTTAATTTGAAATTAAAAATTTGGGAGATAAGAAATAGGATAAATACTGAAAAAGAAGCTAACTAAATAAAGAATGACGAGGAGAGAGAAAAATATCACGTTAGAATGAATAGAGGAGAAAGTAAAATATATATATATATATATATATCATCTTATAAGTTTAGCTGCGGGCAACGAATTTTCATGAATGATTTCAACAACAATTTTCAACATATCTTCAGTCGAGTTATTGAAATTGTCTTACAACAATTTGTCAAAGGAGATATTTCAGAAAGTATTTTAGATTTTTTAAATATCTATAATTGTCTTTGTTCTAAGCTAATCTATTTGGTTTGCTAGATATAATCGTTCAAGGATGATGTAGAGGAATCTAGGTCTATTCTACAATGGAAGAGTATTGTGGCAAAGTAATTTTGATACAACATCCAATTCTCAAATAAAAAAGATATTTTTAATTATTCTCTCTACTACATTCACATCATATTTGTTTTGAACTCTTGGAAGATTGCGAGCGAATTAATATGATCTCATAAAGCTATTATATCTTATTTGTACTCTTTTTATGACACCTATTCCTGTTTAGTGCTAGAGAATTGTAAGAGCTTCTAACTACGTGTCCACTTTAATGTAAAATATAAGTGAAATTCTTCACCTTTCTTCAACATTTCTTCTTCAATGGAAATAGATAGCAACAAACGATTCGCGCCTAATGCACCTCTCCCTTAATTTTATGCCTTCAAGGAAATTTTGTGTATTATTTCCATAGCTTTGTGTGGGTGATATAAACATACTGCTGATTCTATACTTCCTCCAAAAGTTTCAATTGAAGATATTGTCATTCAAAAAGTATATAGGCTTGTTTACTTTCTTTAAAAGTGGTTAACCTTGGAAGGAATCATTTAAATGGCAATTTGCTAGAAGAAATATGTCATCAACTCCCTTTGCTGGAAATCTTTGTTCATGATAATTATTTAGAGGGATGGATTCCAAAATCAATATGTAGCTGCTCATCTTTGAAATAATTATATTTGACCATCAACTCATTTACAGGTATGTAGTTGTGTGATTGCATTTTTTCTACAACGCACTCGTGTAATGGTGGGGGCACAATTTTTCTTTTCATCATTTCATTCATTTTGCTTGTTTATATAATTTTCTTTTTTACAGCACACACTCATGTAATGGTGGGGGCACAGTGTTCTAAAGGAAAAAAAATCTCGAAATAGTGAAGCAAAATATTGAATCAACTTGTGAAAACACATTCTCAATGCACCTAAGTAACTAGATATCTTTAAAAGATTATATATTTGAAAAGATTTTATAGCATATGGGTGACAGGCTTCTAATAATGGTTAATTTTGGTTATTTGTTTTCTCTGCAACGATCTAATCTTAATATCTCATAGAGATTATAGAAAAGATGGACTCACGGTTTTTGATGCTCCTCCCTTTCTTTTTATTTCTCATTTCAGTCCCCTGCATTTTCATTTTAAAAGGGAGTTTTCTGTCCTTTTTTTAATCTCTCAGTGAATCACATTAAAACACACACTTACATCCCATACAGAAAACTAATTTATTCTGTGTTTATTGTTCCTGCCGATTAGGGATCGTCGCTTTTAAAAAGTAATTGGAGCTCTGTATCACCAGTTAATTAGTGTATTAGTGTGATTTCTCACTGTGAGCAAGTCTTCAACGGTGTTCTACAAAATAAGAATTTATTTGATAGTCTCCTAAAATAAACGTGTTTTGGGCTTCCAAAATTTGAATTATTTAATGTTTATAAAAATGATTTGTTGGGTAAATTTATCTCTGGATGGCTTCAATAGAGCATATATACCAAGTGATAATTGGAATTTTTTTTATTTTTTTATCAAATGAAATGTTTTAAGTTTAATTATATCTATGATATGTTCATGCACATTCATAATATTGAAATATTTTTTAATATACATTCGCTATTAATATTCTAAGATAGAATTTTTAATTTTGCTATCAAACTATTTAGATGTTACCCAACACTTTTCATGTGGATGTGTAGTTTTTGTGAATTATTTAATTCCTTAAAAATACACAAATCAAAGACACACATTGTGACGAGCACAAGCCTAAAGGGAGAGCCCATCCCAAAAGATTAGTCTGTTAGGTGAAAAAGTCTCACATACTTATAAACCCCACAATACTTGTGAGACTCCCCAAATTGGAACTTGTGACACACATATGGTAATATTTTAATGACAAACATTTATTATCTGATTTAAACTCATATCTAACGTAGTGCGCAGTACCAATGATATATAAAAATATTGACTTTTTATTTACCCAAAAAAATTGACTTTTTATTATGTATTTTTACTTATGAAAATCAATATATTGGAATAAATAAGAAAGAAATCTTCTGTGCGTGTTCTTTTTGTTGGGGGAAAGGCCCGGTGGAAATATTTGTGTGTGTGTGTGTGTGTTTATTCTATTTATCATTGTCAAATTAATTATTTGAATCCTAAAAAATGGCCATCAATTAATATAATTTCATATAGCTTTTTTATTTCATTCTATCATTGTCTTATTTATTCTCTCCATGATCAATTTAATGTTAAATGATTAATCAGAGTCTTGTAACTGTAACTATTACATCTTACTGCACTGTAATTTTAGGTGTTCACTTTTAAATTGTAATAGGTGAAATTCTATCATCTCTCTTTAGCATTTTTACTCTAAGAAGTGTATATTTACGGGAAAACAATTTGAATGGTAATCTTTCAATATTAACTGGCAATGAGACGTGGCTAGAAATATTAGATCTAAGTTACAACTCCTTTACAGATATGCTCAATCTATGATATACCCATCCCTTAATTTTATTCTTCAACAAACTTTTCATTTATTATTATGCTTATTCTATATTGTTAGCAAGATTTTTAACTAAAACCACTTTAAGAGCAAAAATTATAGTATACTTGATATGTTTGATGCAACCCATTTTCTTAACCACTAATTTTGAATGTTTATGTCAAGAAAAGTTGTTGCACACATGGCTCTCACAAAAATCCATTCAGCTTTTACGAGAGGGAGTTGCCAAGAAAGGTCCTTATATATTTTTCTATTAATGTTAAGCCTCTAATTATCAATTTTCCATGTATTATTTATACCTTTGTGTGAGAATTTGGGGAATAGACAATCTTATCTTTACTAACAACAAATAAACATTTTTTACTTTGTTTAGGCTGAATTCCTTCATTTATTTGGAATATGTCTTCTTTGAGAAAAGTTTATCTTGGCATAAATCATTTAAATGGTAATTTGCTGGAACAATTGTGCCATCAACTCCCTTTTAATTGAAGTCTTTGATGT